TTATGGTATTTTGAATCTAATTTATTAGATACTCATTATGAAATTGGTGGATTGATTTTGGTTCTATTAGGGGTGCGCGTTCCGGGTACCCTGCACTTTTCCAGGGAACCGGAACCGGAACCGCACAGTACAGGTTCCCAAAAAAAGAACCGGAACCGGAACCGCAAGTACGGTTCTTCAATTCAAGGAACCGGACCTAAAATGCAGGTTCCGGTTCCTTTCCAGGGTACCCTATAAAAAATCAATTACCCCCCTATTAGTTAAAAAATAACAAAAACACCTTTTAAGTTTACAAATACACCCCTAACAAATTTTCGTTATTCATTCATGTGTCCAATGTAACTCATAACCTGTAATCTCTAAGCAACACTTGAATTCAATCAATTCATCACAATTCACATAATATTCGTCAATCAAAACCAAAACACAACAATTATTCATCATAATTCACATAAAATAACTTCACCAAAATCATTTAAATCACACAATTCTTAATACTAATACTAACATTGCCATTTGCCAGGGGTCTATTTGATAAGTTAATAATATTAATGTTATAAATTTATTAATTTATGTTATAATTGGTTAATTGGTATTTATAATATACCAAATATAATTTAGTAAATTTAATATTAGAAACAAGTAATGTTATAATTAAATAAGTGATCATACTACAATGTAATTTGTAATGTTATAATTAATTAAGTGATCATACTACAATGTATTGTATGTTTATAATTAATTAAGTAATATTTATTTAATTATATGTAATATTATAATTAATTAAATTGTTAATCATTTAATTAAGTATTAAATATTGTTTATAATAGAATGTTATAATTAATTAAATAATCATACAATAAATTTTAATATATGTTATAATAATAAATTATAATATTCGATTAAATATTGTGCAAATTAGTAAATTACTAATGTTTATAATATAATGTCATAATCAATTAGTAATCATTTATTATGTAATGTTATATTATTATATGATCATACTATAATGTATAATGTAATGTTTATAATGAATTAAGTAATCATACTACAAATCTATAATTTAATATTTAATTATAAATTTTAAATCATTTAATTAATATACTATTTTTATAATGGATGTATAATTGATTAAGTATCATATTACAAATATATAAAGTAATGTTTAATTAATTAAATTTTTAATCGTTTAATTAAGTAATGTAATAGTATAGTAGATTACTAATGTTTATAATGTAATGTTATAAATTCATAACTAATTAGTAATTATGTAATCATTTAACATATAATTTTATAATTAAGTAAGTATCATAATATATGTAATATAATAATATTATAATTTAATTGAGTATTATTTAACTATAATGTAATGCTTAATTGATGTTTATAAGGTAATGTTATAATTAATTAAATTTCTTATCATTTAATTAAGTATGTGTGCTAATGTTTATGTAGTAAATTAGTAATACTAATGTTTAAAATATAATATCATAACTCATAATCAATTAAGTAATTATTATTATATAATGTTATATTAATTATATTCATACTATAAATATTATAATGTAATGTTATAATGAATTAATAATCATACACAAATCTATAATTTAATATTATATTAATTAAATTTCAAATCATTTAATTAATATACAATGTTTTAATGGAATGTTATAATTGATTAAGTAATCATATTACAAATATATAAAGTATGTTATAATTAATTAAATTTTTATCGTTTAATTAAGTAAGGTAATAGTAAAGTAAATTACTAATGTTTATAATGTAATGTTAAAATTCATAACTAATTAAGTAATTATGTAATTATTTAACTATATAAGGTTATATTAAGTAAGTAATCATAATATAAGTAATATTAAATATTATAATTTAATTGAGTAATTATTTAACTATAATGTATACTTAATTAATGTTTATAATGAAATGTTTATAAGATAATGTTATAATTATAATTTTTTATCATTCAATTATATTGTGCTAATGTTTATATAGTAAATTAGTAATTACTAATGTTTAAAATATAATATCATAACTGAAATCATTAAGTAATTTTAATTATGTAATGTTATATTACTTAGAATCTACATAGTAGTATAATGTAATGTTATAATGAATTAAATAATTATACTATAAATCTATAATTTAATATTATAATTAATTAAATTTCAAATCATTTGATTATATCTAATGTTTATAATAAAATGTTATAATTGATTAAGTAATTATATTAAAATATAAGGTAATGTTATATTAATTAAATTTTTAATCGTTTAATTAAATGTAATAATATAGTAAATTAGTAAATTACTAATGTTTATAATGTAATGTTTAAATTCATAACTAATTATGATTATGTATCATTTAACTATGTAATGCTATAATTAAGTAAGTGATCATAATATATATGTAATATATAATATTATAATTTATTGAGTAATTATTTAACTATAATGTAATGTTTAATTAATGTTTATAAGGAAATGTTATAAGGTAATGTTATAATTAATTAAATTTCTATCATTCATTAAGTATTGTGCTAATATTATGTAGCAAATTAGTAATTACTAATGTTTAAACATAATATCATAACTCATAATCAATTAAGTAATTATTTAATTATGTATGTATAATTAATTAAAATCATACTATAATGTATGTTATAGTGAATTACTATTAAATAATCATACTATAATTTTTAATGTAATTTATATTAATTAAGTTTGTACTAATGTTATAATAAAGTCAATTAATTAAGTAGTATCAATTAATGTAATGCTATAATTAATTATACATAAAATCAATTAAGTAATGTTATAAAATTATAATTAATTAAGTAATCATTTAACTATAATGTAATGTTATAATTGATTAAGTATGATATTTAACTAGTAATTAAATTTATTAATGTTTATCAATTTATCATATATATAATTAATTCAATTTATATAGTATTACTTAGAACTTGATATTTGAAGTAAATAACTAAATATATTATTACTCAATCAAATATACTATTTTATTCAAAAATATTCTTTTATAACATTAAAAATGTAAAACACTTTTAATTGGATCATAATTCCAATTATTCACTTAATTGATCAAAACTTTAATTAATATATTATAATATATTAAAGCTTTTAATATGGTGTATTTATATGTATAAAGTATAATTGTATTCGTATATTTATTTAATTAGGTTATTCTAAAAATTTAATTTTTTTATATGTAAATAATAGAACTTCCCCTTATTACATTTCACAAATATTTCATTATAGTCCAGGTTCCAATAGGTTCTAACAGGTTCCAAAACGGTTCCAAAAAGGTTCAAAACAGGTTCCAAACAGGTTCCAAAACAGGTTCCAAACAGGTTCCAAACAGGTTCCAAAACCGGTTTGCCAACACGGTTCCAACAGGTTCCAAACAGGGTACCCTTTTTACAGGTTCTGGTTCCGGTTCCGGTTCCTTCGGGGGTAAGAACCGGAACCGGAACCGCACAGTAGCGGTTCCAAAAAATTGGAACTGGAACCTACCCGCACAGTGCAGGTTCTGGGTAGGTTCCGGTTCCGGTTCCGGTTCTTACCCCCGGTTCCGGTTCTACCCGCTACCCGTGCTCACCCCTAGTTCTACTATTCATTTTGCCACCATTTTGCAGGGTTTCCTACCAACAAGAACTCCAATACAAAATGAGAAATACATTTATGTTGGAAACAAGACTATTTTTCAAGTTGAAGCCATAGGAGTTTATAGATTAATGTTTGATTTTGGACATGTGTTGGATTTACAGAACACTTTTTATGTTCCTACTTTTGCAAAGAACTTAATTTATGTATCTAAATTAACTTATGAAGGTTATGAGGTTATTTTTAGTTACTCTAATTTTTGTATTTGCAAAAATGACCTAATTGTAGCTCATGGTTCTTTATTAAGCAATTTGTTTGTTTTAAATTTAGGTCCAACATTTGAAAGTAATTTATTTTCTATTAATCATACTTGCACCAAAAGATTATATTTGAATGAGAAATCTAGAAATTTATGGCACCAACATTTGGGATATATATCAATTGAAATAATTAAACGGTTGGGAAATGATGGGGTTCTTGAGACTCTTGATTACATGATCTTAATTATTGTATCAACCATATAAAGGGGAAAATGATCAAACAGACTAAAAGGGGCGCCAGAAGATCGAATGAGAACTTAAAAATCATACATACTGATATTTGTGGACCGTTCATACCTCGTCTAAATGGTCAGAGATATTTAATTTCTTTCATTGATGACCATACAAGATATATGTATCTCTACCTTCTACATTATAAAGACGAAGCATTATAGAAGTAGAGAAACAAAGGGGGAAAATGATCAAAGTTGTAAGATCAGATGGAGGTGGAGAATGTTATGGTAGAACCACAAAATACGACCAATCACCTGGCCTGTTTACACAACACCTTTAAGAGCAAGGTATTCAAGCACAATATACCATGCCTAGATCGCCAGATCAAAATGACGTTGCTGAAAGAAGGAATCATACGCTTATCGATATGGTCAAAAGTAGGGGTAAAAATTGAGTCGAGCTGCTAGTGAGCTACTACTCAACTCGATGTTGGCTCGAACTCGACTCGATGTTAGTCTAGTCGAGTTTAAGTTCGAGGAGTTAATCGAGTCGAGTTTGATCAAAGTAGAACTCGACTTGATATGTTTGCGAGTATTTTCACGCTCGATGGTTTAAGTTGATAGTTTTTAAAGTAATAAGGGTCATATATAATTTAAAAGTTAAAAGTTTGCAAATCCACCCCTGTTAGATGAGCTTGAAATCAAGTTCGAATTCGAACTGGAATAAAATTCGACTAAAACTTGAAAAAAAAACTCGATTATATGAACTTGAGTTCAAACTCGATTTCCAATTTCAAATACCGAGTTCGAGTTCAAACTTGATTTCTCAAGCTCGATCAGGCTCAAACTCGAACTCGAATTCAAAGGTTATGGAATCAAAGGTTGCTAATTTTCTAGAAAATGACAATAACAATGGGAGTGTTCAACCTCGAAACATTGATCTAAAGGGTTTAGAGGCAATTGAAATTTCTCCTACAATTGAAGGTGAAGGATTAATCCTTTTACTCGTGGCTTGTGGAAAACAAATTCACGATATAGTACCACATCAAGAGCAAGTTGTTGTTGAGCCTATTGTTCAAATTCAAGAAAATGAAAATTTGGAACAAGGTCTAAGAAGATCTCAAGAACTAGAAAATTAGCAATCTCCTCAGATTACCAAGTATATCTTCAAGAATTAGAAATAGATGTGGGTATTAATGAAGATCCAACATTAGAGATGGTAATAGGTTGGGCCGGGACTAGGTACCCCTTGGCCCGAGCCTAAGCTCGACCCCATGACAAAGGCCCTGTCCCAGCCTAAGCCCGCCACGGGGATGACAGGTAAAGCCCAAGCTCGGCCTGACGGGCTTTTTGTAATCTCAGTCCCGGCCCAAGCCTACCCATTTTTATAATGTGAATCTTTAAATATTAATAAATTTGAATTTTTTTATATATTTTTAATTCTAAAAACAGTTTTTAAATATTAATTTATTTTTGAATACTCACCAAATATTAATAAATTTCAATTTTTTTTTTTATATATATGTAGGATAATTCTGTAATTAAATATATAGTATAAGGGTAATTTAGTAAAATTAATAGTAAAATTGTCGACCGGGCCAGGCCGGGACTGAAGACATGCCCATGCCCGACATGTACCCGAGTGCAGACCTTAAAATCAATCCTAGGCCCAAGCCCAAGCCTGCTAACACCGAGTAAAGTCTGGCCTTTTCGGGCCAAGCTGGGTACCCGGAAATATCGAGCCCATTGCCATCTCTATCCAACATCTTTTTCGAAAGTAATGGAATGTAGAGATTTCATTTCATGGTTAATGCCATGAAGGATGAAATGGAATCTATGGCAAAGAACCAAGTTTGGGATCTTGTTGATCTACCTAGAAATACTTCCATTGTGGGGTAGAATCGATAGATACAAGGCCCAACTTGTAATGAAAGGTTATAACTAGAGAGCTGGAATCGATCATCATGAAACCTTCTCTTCGATATCTAGAAAAGACTCTTTGTGAATAATGTTGGCAGTAATAGCTAATTATGATCTTGAGCTACACCAATTGGATATCAAAGCTGCATTTTTAAATTGCGATTTAGAAGACGAGGTATACATGGATCAACTTAAAGGATTCACTTCGGACAAAGGAGATCATTTAGTTTGTAAGCTTAAGAGATCCATATATGGCTTGAAGCAAGCTTCTAGGCAATGGTATTTAAAGTTTAATAAAACTATTTTGACATTTGGCTTTATAGAAAATTGAGCTTATCATTGCATTTACATCAAGATAAAAAGAGGTAGTTTTATCATACTTTTACTATATGTGGATGACATTCATTTAGCTAGCAATGATCTTGGATTGCTACATGAAACAAAATAATTTTCTAGCTCAAAACTTCAATATGAAGGATATGGGTGAAGCCTTATATGTCTCAGGCATAGAGATTCACCGAGACATATCATTAAAGATCTCAAGATTATCTCAAAGGGGCTATAGTGAAAAGGTTTAGAAGCGTTTCAATATGAAACATTGTTCATCAATTGTAGCACTTATTGTTAAAGGAGACAAGCTTAGCCTTGAACAATGTCTGAAGCACTATTTTAAAACCCGGACCGAAGGGCAACCCGTTTTGCTGCTTAGGTCATGGGTCAATTGGTCCAACTGGTTGGACCAGCCGGTTGGACTGATAACGTCAGCGATAATTTTATTTTTAAAAAATTGTTATTAGTCCTTAAATTTTAGTATATTACAAAAATACACTTAAAAATGTTCAAATTAGTCCCAAATTTTTTATTTATTTCAAAAATGCCCCTAAAAAATTACCAATTAATCCCTAAACTTTTGACATATTCTAAAACACCCCTAAAAAATTACAAATTAGCCTTTATAAATTTGAAATATTACAAAACCTCCCTAAGACTTGAACCGGATTGGAGAAGCTATCGGGTCTTGGTCGGACCAGTCCGACTGGCCGGTCTGGTCCGGGTTTTAAAAAAGAGGTCTAAAGATTGATTTAGAGCGTCAATCCATGAAGAATATTCCCTATGCTTCTGCAATAGGAAGTCTAAATTATGCTTAAGTCTACACAAGACCTGACATTTCATATGTAGTGTGGGGGTTCTAGGTAGGTTCAAACAAAATCATGGTCTGGCCCACTGGACAACAGTAAAAAAGGTATTGAGATATCTTCGAGGGATAAAAGATCACATGCTTGTCTATAAGCATGTTGATGACTTGGAGTTAATTGGATATTCAGATTCAGATTACGCTAGATGTCAAGTCACATGAAAGTCGACCTCAGGCTTCATATTTCTCATTACGAGAGGAAGAGATTGTTGGCATAGTGTAAAATAGCTGAAGACAACTTCTTCCACAATGGAAGCTAAAGTAGTAGTGTATTATGAAGCAGTTTATCACACATCGTGGTTGAGACAATTTATCACATATTTAAAGGTGGTCTCATCAATAGAAAGACAAATAAAGATATTTTGTGATAATACAGCAGCTGTGCGCTTCTCTAACAGCACATGTTTACTAAATCGATGTCGTCACATTGAAATAAATTATTTTGTTGTCAAAGAAGATGTTTGAGATCGTTATGTATTGGTTGAACATATTGACACATATGATATGATCGCTAATCCCTTCACCAAAGGTCTTCCACCCAAGGTATCTGTGGCTCATGTAAGCCAATATGGGTTTATGTAAATCATTGTATTAATAATTCTTTCTAAGACTTTGCAAATGTAAATTTGACGATTTCTATTAAAGTTTTCTGTTATTAATTTTGTGTATACATATAGTTTTGATAATGACATGCCTATGGTATTTAAGGCAATAAAGTTGACCCAAGAATAAATTATTGAATTTTATTTTATAAAGTCTGGTTGTCACTCATTATAAAATGAACAATTCATGTAATGCATGGAAGGGAGTGTTCTTGTCATAAGGCATATACTGCCATGATTCATGACTTGTGCTTTTATCATAGATGTGATGAGCCGATTAAGAATGAACTAAAACTCTATATATGGCCATACATCAAAGTCAATTCACTCTTTTATATTCGCGGCAAATAATGGGCCAAGTGAGGGAATTTAAGTGGCCCATTAACTAACACTTCCTCAGGGAAGTGGATATAATAAGAGGTAACTACCTCAGTAATTACTTGGTAACACTTAGGGTCCTGGGTGATAATTATAAATTTAGGCGTTCGTTTCCCAATTTATAGTCTGAGAAAAACACCCAGAAATCCTAATTGAATTGAATCAATTGATCCTTTTGGAGTGAATCACACGAATACTAATGGCAGGAATTACACCAAGTTCGAACAAAAGTATGTAATATTTATTCCAAATTTTACAAAATAATGATGATAGTCTGTAAATTAAGTTTTTACTCTCTTTCATTTAATCCTTTATTTTATATATAATTATATTAGAGATTGTACGGGCAAAAAATTGTCTTGGGCCTTACTAGGCTCAAGCATAGAACATCTACTATATGGTTTAGGGCCATGACCTAACTTTGGTTGGGCCTACGCCAAGAGCCAATTACTAAGGCCCATGCCCATTGGACCAGGTTATCTTCAAAGGGTCCAGAGTTCTATTCAAACCCTAAGAAATATACTTCCTATTCATCCTAATTTGTCTAGGAACCTAAATCCTATATGAATTAGGACTCTCACTCCTTTAAAGGCAAGTAAATTAAGACTTTCTTAGTTACTGGAACTCTGCCATTATGAACTCAGAGTCCTACTAGGATTCGAAGATCATCTGGCCACTATATCAACAAAGGTCTTATCTCTCATAAAGGATTCATTATTCAATACCACCTACTAGCTCCTAAAGTTCTTGCTCCTACGAACTAGCACCTTTACCATAGCTCTAATCTCCAATTAGACTTCGGTAATCCTTTCTCCCCTTGGCCCTTACTAAATAGCCTCTTTCAGCCTTGCTGACTTAAGAGTCGGAGTGCCTACGGTAGACACTACACCGGTGTCTTAAGTAAGCTTCGCGCTTATTTCTTTGTGTGTGCAGGTTCATCAGATCGTCAATGGCCTCAACCTAGGGGTGAAAGTCGAGTCGAGCTGCTCGCGAGTGGCTCAAGCTCGACTAAGTGATAACTCAAATTCGACTCGCACATAGACGAGCCAATCACGAGCTGAGCCGGCTCGACTACAGTGTCAAGCCGAGTTTGATCAGTGGCTACTCGGCTCGTTAAGCTCACGAGCTTGAGCCAACTCGCGGGATTATTTGCAATTTTTAAATGTATAGGGGGTCATATGAAATTATGTTATGTTTTAGGTTTAAAAAGTTGCAAATCCACCCCCATATCAAACAAACTAAAATAAAAATCGACACACACACACACACACCCATAAATCTCTAATTCCTAAATCAAACTACAAACCCTAACCCAATAGATCTCTCCTCGATTACCTCTATTCATTGGAGAATCGCTGTTTTCCCTCTCCACTGACGCATTTTGCTTTTTCTTATTCTTCTCACTCTCGTCTCACTATCTCTGTCACTTTCAAATGTTCAGCTTCAACGTCTCAAATATCAGGTAATCTTTACTTAACAGCCTCTCAAACTCACTCTCACTCTCACTCTCACTTTCAGTCTCAATCTCAACCTCTTAGTGTCAGTCTCGGCCTCTCAATGTGACTTTCATCAATGTGGTAGTACATAGGAGAAGTGGGAGATTGATTTGGTTAAGTGGTTCTAGGGTAGAGGAGCTAGGTAGCTTGGTTCAAGCAAAGTCAATCAATTAAGAAATAAAAAGCAAAGTACATGCAGAGAAAAGCTAAGGAAAGAGAAAGAAAGAAAGAGAGATGGTGTGGTGGTGGTGTTGCAGAGACATTAATAGTGTGGATAAGGTTCCTGCAAGAAGAGAGACGGGTCTTTTTTCACTCTTCTCTAGTCTTGAAATGAGTTCCCACTTCCCATAGAAACAAGTTTCTTTCTTTCTTTCTTTCTATATATATTATTTTCTTTCTTGCTTTCTAGATATTTATTAATCCTTAGCTTTTCCTTGCATGACTCATTTATTTACTGAACTACAAACCAGCAAAATGGCCTCAGTTTCTGATTTTAATTTTTTGGGGACTTTGATATTTTGCAAACGTTAGGGGTTCAAAACTTCAAATGATATTTATGAATTCAAACTCGAGAGTGTCACTAACTCTCAGTTTTAGACTTTTACTTTATACATCAATACATGTTTGTTCTTTGTTGCTGAATAAGTTGTCATTGTGCAGGAAGCTGCTGTTAAGATCTCCTCTAGGACTCCCTTTGAAAAGGGTTGGTCAAGAACTCAAGATTCATCAGAGGCACAAGCACAACCAAGGGTGAGCATTCAGTAAAACTTAATGATTTTTGTGTTTGTTGTTTTTATCTCCAATTGATTATGAAGATTTTTGATTCTGAAATGAGTTGAGATTATGAATCAGTAAAAGGGAGTCTTGTATGTTTATTTGTATGTTGATAAAATGAAATCATATTTGAGATTTGTGTGATCAGTCACTCTTGTATGTTGATTAAATAAAATTGATTTGGAATTTGTGTGATCTCACTCTTGTATGTTGATTAAATAAAATCAGATTTGGAATTTGTGTAATTGATGTCTCTATGCTATGTGCCTTGATGAACTTTTATTTTTTTATCTTGGTGTTTAGGTTCTGATATTTCCAATACTAATAGTGTTATTTTCTTTTATTAAGGTATGGATTCCTCATCCGGTTCCCATGCCATGTTGGATGAACACTTGGTTGAGGTTCAGATTGAGACCACAAACACAACCCCCACAACTAATAGGAATGAAGCTGAAACTGAAACCCAGGGTAGTAGCCTGCCCAATCAAAATGATGCTAATCCATTCTATAGAGAAAAGAGCTAAGACATCTGCGATTTGAATGTTTACGGAGGTGGTTCCCACCTGACGTACAAAAAGGCAGATTGCAACCATTGTAAAGCCAAACTAGCCATTATTCTACCTGAAGCACTACTCAGTTTTCTATACCTCTGAATGTGTGTTCGCGGCGAATGGTGGCCATGAGATAGCAACAACAAAAATTTTCCGCCATCAGATTCTAGTATGGGGCAAACTGAGATGTCAATTCTAATAGGTGGTAAGTTTGATATGGCAGTTATGAGGGAATTGGTTGCACATTGGGTGCTTATGCATGAGCACCCATTCACAATTGTGGAGGAAGAGGGTTTAAATAGTTTGTTAAAGTATGCAACGCCTTGCTGGAAAGGATATCACTTATTACTAGTAGAAATGATTGTGTGAAGGTGTGTATGGAAAAAAGAAGTTGAACCTGCTAAAAAGTGTTGATAAAATAAGTTTGACAACCGATTTTTGGAATTCAGGGAACCAAAAGATTGAATACATGGTTCAAGGGCATGGGATAGATTCTAGTTGGAGGTTACAAGCGTGTGCTCAGTTTTGTTCATGTACCTCCTCCCCGGGGTGGGATTAGATTCCTGATTGTATATTCAAGTGTTTAAGGGAATGGGGAATTGAACCAAGGTCTCACGATCTCAGTTGATACGCCTCAAGTAATGATGGTGGCAGTAAGGGTTATAAAGAAAACTTTCAATAACTAGGAGGCTAGCTTGTGGAGGTAAACTATTTCACATTAGGTGTTGTGCGCACATATTAATAAATGGTGCAAGATGTCTTACTCAAATTAGGCACGTCATTCAAAACGTTCATGATAGTGTGTCGTACATCAAGCAATCGGAGAGTAGACTTCCCATTTTTTCAGAGATTGTACAACACTGGCAGTTGCCATACCAGAAGCTAATCCTCGATTTTAAAACAAGGTGGAGCTCAACTTATGAGATGTGTCAGTTGCATTGAAGTTCAAAATGGTGTTTTCAAGGTACTACGAAAGAGATCCAAATTATCATTCTTGTCCCTGTTAGGAAACCTGGTTGCGCAGCGGAAAACAAAAAATTACACCATGATCGTTCCTTAGAACCCAAAAATCAGGGCATAGAAAATTATGTTTAATTTTGTAAGAATCTGCAGAAAAGTAAATCCAAAGGTTTAGATTCATACCCGATTGGAGGCTCCACCAATATTGTCTCTGAACGTTTGCTACCGATCCAAGTATAGGATCGAACCGTAGAGGTCCACACAAGACAATCAACAAGAACCAAGGAGGGATTTGCTAGATCCTCCTTGGCCTTAAGAAATCAAGAAGAAAACAAAAGTGTTTGTTTTCAATGGAACAGTAAAAGTGGCGTGGGAGAGTTTTTGGCTGGAGGTTTTTCTTTTCAAAATCAAGAATGAATAAAATAACACACCCAATTTCCAACTAAAACCCTTTCCTTTAAGCTTATTTTAGTTGCCCTATTCCCATATGGAATGGCTTGGCATCAACCCAAACACCCCCAAATTTGCCAACACTCCCAATTAGATATTTTAATTTAATTCATCATTTTATTCAATTAAATCAATTAATATTAATTAACATTTAACAATGATGATATTTAATTAAATATGTGCGAACACAAATTTAACCTTAATTTCACTATTTATTTTTTTAACAAATTATAAAAGGCTACGACCTCAGACAATTTATTGCACTGTGAAATTACCAAAAATCCCATTTTGCCTAAAAAGACAAAATGCCCTTCTTTCTTCTTGGCTCTTAATTATCTTCTATGTGTGTGACCCATAGGCTCCTCATCATACCGATAGTGTATATTATCGCGATTCACCAATTAATTGTCTCACTAATACACAGACCAAGATTGGCCTCTAGCAAGGCATCATGGTCCCCAGATTCGATTCAGAGAATAGCTACCTGTCACCGTATATGTTGCCGTACAAACTGATCCTTTCATCATACGTTATCGTCGAGACGAAGGCATAGAAATAGTGTCAACCTTCGGTTACTCTTGAATATATATTCATTTCTGGACCATGACCCGTTTTAATTTAGATAGAGCAACAACTCAATCCCACTGTGGCCACAGTTTCAGTGTCATTGCCATATACTGAATTGCGCTGTGAGATACTTCTCCTCGTACCCGGACTGATGAATCCTCTGTCAATCCACCATTCTTGATACACTCCTTAATACAGCCAATCACCACCATACTGACAGCTTTGAATAGAATTGCTTAGGCAGTGTCAAACTGTACCAATCGGTGCACAAGGCGCTCCGGTGATCTCAAGTCTAAGGATCACATGCACCACCTTCATTAGAGGATTTGTTCCATAGACACTGGGGTTACCACCATATGGAATCCTCTGGTGGGTCAGTCTAGTGAACTTGCTGCGTATATCCGCCTACACAAGCACCCATGTGTTGCACCAAGTTGTCATCAAACAACCTTGACAAGTGAGATCAGTCACTGCCTTTCGACAGGGTCGTTCAACACTATGATAGCCTTACGTATTATCTGTGCCCTTACTTCAGAATAATACTGGCTACGGACGTTTCTAGAATGGCCACCACATGTGCTCATAGGGTTCTCACTATCAATTTGAAACACTTGATACCCTCGTCACGGTTCTACCATTCTAGGACATATATCAATACATATTGCAATAATAATGATTTACCGGTATAGAATAAATGCCTTTTATTATTGATTATGACATTATTACAAAGGTAATTCTACAATAATTGATTGGCTCTAGGGCATCTACTCTAACAATCTCCCACTTGCACTATAGCCAATCATTCATGTATTTAACCAAATGATTTCAAGTGCCTTTCATGCTTCTGCTGTGAAGAGGCTTTGTCGTGGATCTACGAGATTATCGTCAGTATGCACTTTACTAATCGCACGTCTTTCCTCTAACTATCTCTCTGATGAGATGGAATCGCCTGAGTATGTGTCTGGACTTCTGTAGAACTATGGTTCCCTAGCTTGAGCAATTGCTCCATTGTTGTCACAATAGATGTCTATAGGATACACACATCGTAGAACCACACCAAGTTCAGTGACGAACTTCTTAATCCAGACTGTCTCCTTGCCCACATCTGACAGTGCAATATACTCAGCCTCTATTATAGAGTCCGCTACAGTGCTTTGCTTGGAGCTCTCTAGCTCACTGCACTGCCATTGAGACAAATACAAACCTGCTGCGCGATCGATATCGTCTTTGTCTGTTTGGAAACTAGCATCCTGTATCCTCTTACAGTGAGCTCATCTTCCCCTCCTAAACCAAGACATATCCTTAGTCCTCTTCAAGTACTTAAGAATATTCTTGATAGCCATCCAGTGACGCTCACCTGGATCCGATTGATGTCTACTACAAGTGCTCAAAGCACATGAACCAATCCGAGTACATAGCATGGCATAATAATGGATCCAATTGCTGATGCATATGGGATCCTCTTCATCCTATCTCTCTCATCTTGTGTTTTAGGACACAATTCCTGAGAGATAAACACCATGTGACATCGGAAGAAATCCTTTCTTGGATTCTTCCATACTGAATCGTTTCAGTACTTTGTCAATATATGCACTCTACTTAGGCTAGCAACCCATGCGATCTATCACGATAGATCTTTATACCAGGATGTAGCTGCTTCCTCTAAGTCTTTCATGGAGAAGCACTTGGATAACCAAGTCTTTACCGACTGCTAGTTCGGTATATCATTCCCCGATCAGAGATGTCATCGACTCCAACACTAGGAATGCTACTAGCGCTCCCACTCACTTTCTGTAAACACAGGGCTCATCTTCGTTTTTGATAAAACCGATTCTTTTACGGCCTCATCAAAACGAATGTTCCTCCTTGAAGCTTGCTTGAGTCCATAATGATCTCTGCAACTTGCATACCTTATTAGCTTGACTATCAAGAACGAAACCATCAGTTTGTGTCATACATCCTCCTCAAGGTTTCCGTTCAGGAAAGTATTTTTGACATCCATTTGCCAAATCTATAGTCATATGCAGCATTGCAAGCATTATCGGATGGTTTTAATCATGGGAACGGTGAAAAGGTTTCTTCATAGTCAATGCCATGAATTTGTTTGAAACCTTTGGCACCCAGCCATGCTTTAAAGTATGCACGTTGCCATCATGTCAGTCTTCTTCTTGAAGACCCATTTACCCCCTATGGTTTTACCCCTTCGTGGTTCCACCAGAGACCACACTTGGTTCTGGTACATGGAGTCCATCTCAGATTTCATGGCTTCAGCCATTTAACAGAATCTGATCCAATATAGCGTCTTCGTAGGTTCTGGGTTCATCGTCTTGATAGACTAGTACGTCACCATGTTGAGTCACGAGATAACCGTATCTCTCGGGCTCATGGCGTACTCTCCCAGATCTACGAGGCTCCTGTGCTACCTCTAGGTAGTTCACTTTGATCCAC